TTTGATGTAATTGCAGACATCATTATTACCAGAAAAAGATGCATATCACACCAGTCGAGGTGAGATGCTGGCACAGCTGGATACACTGATGGGCGGCCGAGTGGCAGAAGAGCTAGTATTTGGTCCGGAGCATGTGACCACTGGCGCTGCTAATGATTTAAAAAAAGCAACCGAACTGGCCGAGAAAATGGTCAAGACATTTGGAATGAGCGACAAGGTTTCTGAGTTATTGTAATGTTTTAAGAAAGAAGTACTCTGGGCGGATCTATCATTTCTTAGAGAGGGAGCGGAAGCTTGGCGGTGTGAAATGTTTATTGGGACCTTTTCATATTTTTTCAGGTCGGTTTAAGAATATCGGATAATGAGTCAAGATCGCTTATATCAGTCAATCAGCTGAGCCCTCCAATGTCAGAAATGATCGATAGAGAGATTAACCGTTTTCTCAAGGAATCTTACGATCGTGCGAAGGAAATACTCACGAGACATAAGGTATAGCAAGAATTTACCTCCACCTTAACGCTTCATCAGCCGGGTTAACTCAAATAACTCAGCAAACGACATGTCGCTGACAGCGGGATGTGTTTCCAAAACGAGTTGCCTCCTTAAAAAAATTCCCAATGGTAGAAGTTACAGTTGGACTAAAATTGGAATTTGCTATTGTGCAAACTTGTGCTGCGATTTTTCAGCAAAATGTTAAAAAATTATCAGTAAGTTGCTCCTAGAACCGTTTTTTTAAAGATGGATGAATGAACTGCATTTTATTTTGCGAATAGATGCTTGTTTTTAAAAAATTTTAAGCCGTGTTCTGCCAGTGAGAACAGGAGCAAGATGAGGTTGAATTTCAGAAGGAACACGAGCTTCTGGCAGAAGCGCTGCTGGAACATGAAACTTTAACAATCGATGAAGTAAAAGAGTTGCTAGAACATGGTAAAGTGTTGTCGCGCCTGCCGAAGACAGAAAAAGAATCGAAATCCGCGAAGTCTCCCAGTCGACATATTCTCAAACATCCCATTGTAACGCCAGCGGAAGAAAATGTTTCGACGGAAGGACGGATATAGTAGTGTCCGCACAATAATTTTTTTTTT